GAATTATACTAATCCAAATACACTAAGAAAGAGTTTTCTTGAGGAAGCTGCAGGAAGCCAATTTAATTCCTCAATCAGTTATTTTATGACCAAAGTTAAATTGTTTCTAATGTCTCCTATTTTGAATTTAATTTTCCAAAATTAGTATTTCATGAGAATGACTTGGTTTCGTGGAGTAAATGCCAGCACGAAGATTTAATTATTCTCTCAGTCATTTTTAGTCTACATCTGATTTCACTGGTTTCCTGCCATTGTGTGTTGTCTACTGTGTCCATTATTTCTAATTGGTCCAAATTTTCGGGTCAAATTTGATTCTCTAATTGTCAAAATTTTATTCTCTGTTTGATCAGTCAATATCCAACTTAACGTGGTTTTAGTTTCTGTCAACTTGATTTTGTGTTGACTATTTCTACACATCTGTGGTAGGTTGTACTATTTGCTCACAATTATGCCTTCTCTCCCCACACTCACCACGAGCAGTCTGCTGGAGGACATTTCTCTATCCATTGATGTTGGGCTTGACTGTGGGTGGCAGACTATATTTTCCAAAGATGACCATAACAATATTTCCCATCTCATATGCATCTCTCATCTTACACTGTGATCTTGACATACTCCCATCAAGTAGGGAGATTTATGGCATCTCCCTCTTGTACCTAGGTGAAACTTTGCAAGTACCTTGACCAACAGGGTTCTGCAGAAGTGATGCTATGTGTTTTCTGAGGCTAGATCATGAAAATGCAATACGCTTCCCTCTTGCTCTCTTGGAACCCACCTACCATGCTTTGAGGGAGCCCAAACTAGCCTGCCGAGAGAGAGCACTTAGGGATGGCACAAAGAGATGTTTCAGTTGACAGCTCCAACTGAGGTCCCAGCAGATAACCAACATTGACCACCAGATATGTGAGTGAAAACACCTCCAGAAGGTTCTGGCCACAGCCTTTGAGTGTTTCCAGCTGAGGCTCCAGATGTTCTAGAGCAGAGGCAAGCAGTTTCCACTGTGACTTGCCTGAACTCCTGACCTGCAGAATCAGTGAGCATAATAAAATGGTCGTTTGATGCCTCTGAGTTTTGGGGTGTTTTGTAATACAGCAATAGTAACTGGAACACCATGGGACCTCAGAAGGTGACAGTATTTGGAGACAGGGCCTTTAAAGAGACAATGAAGTTAAAATGAGGTCATTAGGGAAGGCCCTAACCCAATCTGACTGATGTCCTTATAAGAAGAGGAAATCTGGACACACAGAGAGACGACGAGGGATACACACACACACACACACACACACACACACACACAGGAAAGACTGAAGACACAGCAAGAAGATAGCTGTCTGCCAGCCAAGGAGAAAGGGATCAAAAGAAACCAATCCCACTGACACCTTGATCTTAGTCTTCTACCTCCAGAACTATGAGAAAATACATTTCTGTTGTTTAAGCCACCCTGGCTGGGTATTTTGTTATGGCAGCCCTAGCAAACCAAAATGCCAACCCGCAGTCCAGAACTAAACCTGGTGGATCCCAGCAGAGCCTCAGCCAACCCACAGGCCCATGAAGGATAGAAATAAATGCTCAAAGTTGTAAGCCACCAAGTTTTGGGGTTGTTACACAGCATTATTGTAGGGGAAAAATTGACTAGTACAACATCTAATCTTTCCCTGGGCCAATTTTGACAATTTTCTTTATTATCCACAACATGATTCCTTAACAATTTATTAATCTAAACAAATTTTACTGCCCACGTATTTCAACATCTTCAGTTATGTCCAAACTGCTCCTGCTGCTAGCAGAGCATCGGGATCTGGATCAAAACATATCACCAAATATTTCTTTTTTCAGTTTTATTGAGAAATAATTGACATACATCACTGTATAAGTTTAAGGCCTACAGCATTATGGTTTGATTTACATATATTGTGAAATGATTACCACAATAGGTTCAACTAACATCCATCTTCTCATACGATACAATAAAAGAAAAAACGAAAAAAATTTCTCCTTGTGATGAAAACTCTTCAGATTTTCTCTCAACAACTTTTCTATATTTCCTACAGCAGTGTTAGCTACAGTCATCACATTGTACATTACAACCCTAGTACTTACTTATAAGCGGAAGTTTGTATGACTGTGTCCATGCCAGTCCCACCCAACGGGCTGGGAGACCTGGAGGGCAGGGCCCCTGTCTGCTCCATGTCTGGATCCCCAGAATCTCCCATGCTAAGGCGGTGACTAATAAATGGATCCCTCACGCCAGACAGAGCCTGGGATCAAGGCAGCTGCAGGCAGCTGCCAGTAGAGGGTGCTGGAGGGGCCATTTCAGGAGGAAAGGAGGCTTCTCTTCCTGGTTCTGGAATGTGAGTGTGTGTGTGTGTGTGTGTGTGTGTGTGTGTGTTATTGCTCCTGCCGTGTAGTTGGTCAGATAGAAATTAAATGGATGTTCAAGGCTCCCCATACTCTGGCCCCATATACCCCCCTCTCAATCTTTCCCTGCTTCCCCCAGAGTTGTCTCTTCAGTAGAAGCAGCAGAGACTCCAAGGCCCTGTGAGTCTCCCACCTCCCTATCTTCCCTGGTCCATTTCTTCCTTCTCCTCTGACAGTCCATAGACTCCTTTTATTTCCTCTATCATGCCATGGTCCTCACTACCACATGGCCTTTGCACATGATTTTCTCTGCCTAGAATGCTGTTCCACCACCGCTTTCACCTAGTTTACACCCAGTCGTCCTTCATATCTGAAGTCTGAGGACACTTCCTCCCCAATTTCTGTAGATTACGTCAGCTCCGTCTTGTTGGTCAGTCCAAGTCCCATGGACCTCCCCTTCCTAGCACTCATATGTGCTATCATTTATTAGGGTGACCATCTAATTAATGTCTGTCTCCCCACCCCTGACTTTCAGATCCATGAGGACTGAAATGAGGTCTCATCCTCTCTATTCCCGAGCCCAGTACATAGTGGATGCACAATAAATATTTGTTGATTGAATGAATGTTGTTGTCCCAGCTGCTCTGCTAAATCCCTCCTTTGGCGTCTAGGGTGTCCATGGAGGTGTGCTGCTCAGATGGCTCTTCAAGAGAACCTTGAGGAGGTTATGAGGAGGGTATGCTGTGAGGAGGGTGGTTGTATGACCACCTCCAGCTGCTGCACTTTCAGATCGGCTGCAGCGTTCACGCTGAGGCCACAGTCTTCGGGGACTGCTCCCAGCCAAGGGCTGAGCACAGTGGGGTTCTAGGGATGGGTCAATTTTGCACAACACAGGACTTGCTCTGGGGCACCACATTGTCCTGGCAAAGACTTTCTCAAAGATGCTGTGCCAGCTATCAATTTATTGCCTCTCAGCCCCAAATTCACCCTTCAGTGCCTGCTCTACTATAATGAACTGGGCTCTTTGACCGTTGCCTCTTTTACAGCGAGATGCTAAGTGTTGCCACTAGAGGGTGCTGGAGGGGACATTTCAGGAGGAAAGGAGGCATCTCTTTCTGGTTCTGGGGGGGATGTGTGTGTTCTTGCTCCTGCCGTGTGGTTGGTCAGCAGTCTGTGAGAACATCTGGACCATCTGCTGCAGCCATGAGCAGCCTTGCAGTCCCCAGGCCTGGAGGCCATCTTCTTGCAACCCTCCTAATGCAGATACCACATACTCTATGCCTCACATCTGCAAAGTTGCCCCAATCCCACCCGCCCACCAGCCTCAGCTCCCTTGAGCCTCTGAGGGCTGCTTCCTGCTTGCCCAGTGACAATGGACCAGCTCCGGCCCAGGCAACCCAGGAAACTTCCCCACCATCCAGTGGGCTTCAACCACACCTTCTCCAACGAGGTCTGAACCCCAGCGTGGGGAAGGCACCCCCCCCAAGGTTATCCTTCCTTGGGCATGCTCCCTAGGATACCCTTTAAAGTTCTCTTTACATCTGTATGGTTACTCTCTTGTGTAAGCTTAATAATTCTTTAATATAAAGAATTACAGCCCTTGTTTACATACTGTGTGTTTTGTCTCCTGCTTGGACTCAGACTGATAATAGTGCACTGAAGTCTGAGGCTCTTCCCACCCAATCCTCCTTCCTTCCCTCTCTCCTCCCACAGGGCCAGGCCTGTGTCACCACCTAAAGGTTCTCACCACCTACTCCTGACCCTCCCCCCCCTTTATCCTTCACAGGCATTACCTCCAACAAGTCTCTTCACATCTTTAACTCCTTCTTGGCATTTGCTTCTCCGAGGACTCAAACTGGTGCAACTTCCCATCACACTCAGCATAAAATCCCATGAGGCCCATAGAATATGCTTTCTGCCCCAAGACCAACCCTCGCCCCCCACAGGTATCTTCCTTCTACTCTCCAAGTCATTCCACTCCAGTCACTCCAGTCCAATGGAGTCACTGTGGCCTCCTTGATGTCCCCCATACATACAAACCAGAATCCCACCTCAGGGTCTTTGCACTTGCTGTTCTTTGATACAAGGCTTGTTCCCTCATTTCTTTCAGACCTCTTCTCAAACACCACCTCCTCTAAGAGGCCTTGACCTACCATCCCCCAAGCTCCCTGGAATTCCGTCCCTTTATCCTGTTCTGCTTTCTTTCTTCATAGTACTTATTACCATGCAACATGCTAGATATTACACTTACTGATTCATTTTTGTCTCCTCCATGAGGCCAGAAACTTTGTCTGTCCTGTTCACTGCTGCATCTCCCGGGGCCTGGACTAGTACCCAGCACACAGTACGTGCTCAATAAGTATTTGTTAATTGACTGAATAAAGGAGTGTCCTTGCCTTTGTTCAGGCCATTCCCTCCACCTGGACTGCCTTCCCTTCTCCTTCCTGCCTTTCCTAATCCCTCCTATCCTTTAAGACTCAGCCCTAGCCCCTCCTCCTCCAGGGAGCCCTCCCTGACAAGCTGGGCTCTGAGCCCTTAGAAAGTGGCTTATTCTTGCCCCTCACCTACTATACTAAAATTATGCCTAATTTTAGGTATCGTGTAGGCTTTGTGGCAGGTAAAGACTGAGGTGGAGAGTAAAGGCAGAAGAGAACAGGCCAGCTTTATTGGGGTGAAGGAGAGGCTCTGGGCCGGGGTAGAGCTGCAGGGAGAGCAGCCTGGGACGGCGTCACTTCTTCCACTCCTTCTTCTCGTAGTCCCACTGGGAGGCCAGGCCCTGCACAGGGTTGCCCCTCATGTCCAGGATGCGCTGGAGCTGCCGGGCCTTCCACTCATCCGTCAGGGTGATGGGCTTCTTAGGGAACACTGCCAGGAAGGCGTGGGGCAGGGACACGGCAGCTCAGCACCCTGCCAGGCCCGCCCCTCCCGCGGGGCCAGGTCTCCAGGCCCAGGGTTCCAGTGCTCTGCACTGAGGGGCTCCCTCCACCCTGCCCGTCCCCCCACCACACTCCCTTCTGAAGCTTCACTCCAGGGACCCCTGGGTTCTGATCCCAGCTCTGCCTTAGATCGCTGTGGGAACTGGGCCAAGGTCCTTCCCCATTCTGAGCCTCACTTTCCTCACCTACTCTGAGGCCCAATGACAACAGGAGCACTGGTTTTGAGTCTGTCTGGTCCAAATCCCATCTCTACCATTCCCTTGCTGTGTGACCTTGAACAAGTCACTTCATCTCTCTGAGCTTCAGTTTCCTTACCTGTCAAAAACAGGTCCTATCCACTAGGGTTGTGGGGATTGAATGAGTTAGTATTTGCAAAGCAATTGGCACAAGGTGGGACAGATATCAAGCCCCTAATCATGATAGCTACTATAGTTATAATTACTGAGTTGGCTCCCACTTGTTGGGAAGGGTCCAGGATGAGATCATTTCTTTTACTGCCTGAGGGGTTGGGAGTAGGAGGTGGTGTAGGCGTGTTCACTTTAAAAATCTGGGGAGAGAATATTAACGCAAAGGCTGAAGCACTCATGGAGGCATTTTAGGTGCCTTGATGTGTGGATCAGGGAAGGCCTGGGGGCCAGAGCCCCCAACACCACACATATCCTACTTCCAGGTCCATCTGCCCCTGAGGCTGACTCAGCCTGACCGCCTTTCCTGGTATTTTCTATCCCAGTGGGTGGGCAAGAAAGAAAAGATCTATATGGGCACCTATTAGTACCAAACATTGGGCTAGACTAGAATTGTTTCCAAAGGCTCTGTCATGTTATTCTCATGCAAGGTAGGAATTCCCATCACACTTTTACAGAAGAAGAAACAAGATCAGGTGAAGTCAATTGAGGCAGAGCCTGCCAGCTCTTCCCCAATCTCCTCTCCCCTTCTTCCAGAGCAGTGCTTCTCAAACCTGAGTGGGCATCAGAATCAGTTGGAGGTCTTGTTTGTGTGTGTGTGAGGAAGATTAGCCCTGAGCTAACATCTGTTGCCAATCCTCCTCTTTTTGCCGAGGAAGATTGGCCCTGGGCTAACATCTATGCCCATCTTCCTCTAATTTATATGGGATGCCACCACAGCATGGCTTGACAAGCGCACCCGGGATCTGAACTCACGAACCCTGGGCTGCCAAAACAGAGTTGAGAATTTAACCGCTACGCCACGGGTCAGCCCCTGGAGGTCTGTTAAAGCACTGATTGCTGGGCTCCACCCTTAGAGTGACTGACTCGGTAGATCAGAGTGGGGCTGAGAATTTGCATTTCTAACAAGTTCCCAAGTGAAGCTGTTGGTCCAGGGACCACACTTTGAGAATCACTCTTCTGTGGTAATAAATGGTCAGTTGGGTATGTGGCCACCCAGCTAAAGACTACATTGCCCAGCTCCCCTTGTGGCTAGACATGGTCATGTGATCATTTTTAGCCCATAGGATGTGAGCAGAAGTGGTGTGTGCAACTTCTGGACCTTAAAGAGGAATGCATCCTCCCTTTTCCTCTTCTTGACTGGAATGTAATCTTTATGGCTGGAGCTGGAGCAGCCATTTTATATGTCAAGAAGGAAGTTACATGTTAAGGATGTCAGAGCAACAAGACAGAAGGAGCCTGACATTGTGGAGTCCCCATGCTCCCCCTGGCCTTTTTTGTGAGAGAGGAACAAAACCTCTACCTTCTTTAAGCTCTTGTATGTTGCGGACTCTTTGTTACAGCAGCTGAAACAATATGCTGAAAAATTCATGGTTAATAAAAGCAATCAGTAACGTCATTCATGACTACGTGCCAGGCACTGGCCTACAGCTCTCATTAAATCCTCACGGGAACCCTGAAATGTAGGCACTATTATTCCCATTTTACAGATGAGGAATGGAGGCCCAGAGAGGTAAAGTCCCCACATCCCAACCCAGGCAGCCGTGCTCTGCTCTTCTCCCTACACCTCTTTGGGGGACTTTTCAAAACTCTTCAGATGAGTGCCCGCATAGTTCCCTTAGAAGAGCTTGGCTGGTGGCTGCGGTCACAGGGATGTGGCCCAGGGCTGCAGCCAGGTAAGGTGTTGCCACTCACCATAGACCCGCTGCCACCAAATCAGCAGAGCTGTGAATCCAAAGAAGAAGAAGACACCGCCCATCACTGTCTTCCACTCGTTGGAGCGACGGTTCATCTCCGCGAAGGTCTCATGGAACTGGAGACGGTACACTGGAGGCAGGTGGGGGGTAGGGAAGTGGGGGCCTCAGGTGCATCCATTCCAAGGACCCTGGCCAACTCTTGGCCTCAGGGATCTCCAGCCTCCCCCTCCCCCTCTCTGCAGCAGATGCGGTCCATTCAGCAAATTCTTATTGAGCATCTACTGTATGCAAAGCATGGCCAGCTGGTGACAAGGCTCCAAATATCAAAGAGTCAGCCTGGGGCACTACTGGTGGGCAGGACTTGGGGTCAGACATCTCTCCTGCTCCCCAGGGTCAGGCCCCTGCTCCCTCCCCACCTCACTGCTTCTCTCTTCTCCTTCCTCCCACAGCACTCACTGATGCCTAGGACCTTCCATGCTCTCCCGCTCCCATATCCTTCCCTATGCTGTTTCCACTCCCTGGCAGCACCCTTGTCCTCACCATTCAAGGCCAACTGGAATGTGCCCTCCTCTGGAAGGCCCACCAGGATTCTATCTCTCTCTCCTTTGGGTCCTCATAGCCCCTTGAACGCACCTCACCCTAGCCACATATCCTGCATTACAGTTATCTGGGTTTGTATTGGTTCCCCCACTGGACTGGGAGCATCCTGAGGGCAGAACCCATCTGGGTGATTCACTTCTTTGTCCCCAGCATCGCGTAGCATAAGGCTGTGCACAAATAGTTGAGTGAATAAAAGAATGAATGAACAAGGAATGCACTTCATGCCTCAGGTATGCATTCAGGTGTCTGGGGGTTTCTGGCTGTCTTGAGTGGGGGGTGTCTCCCTGCCCACTGCTCTTGACAGACCCTTCTTTTCAAAGTCACCCCCAGGCTACTCTCCCCGGCCAGCCCCACCCTGAGACCTACAGGCCACCTTCTCAGCGTGGCTCAGTTGGGTCCAGCTGCCCTTCTCCTTCTCCTTCAGGGCCCGCTGCTCCGCGTTGAGCTCTGTGCAGAAGGGCTCGTCTGGCATGGGGTAGGAGCGCTGGGCGTGGTAGTTGGTGTAGGGGGGCATCTTCCCCTTGCTGTGGGCTGCGGGCACAAGGGAGGAGCTGAGTTCAGGCTGCCCCTGGGACATCCCAGCACTAACCATGATATTAACAGAGGGCTGCGTTTATTGCGCACTTACTGTGTGCCAGGAGCCATTCTAAGGCCTCTAGGTGAGTGTACTCACTTACTTCGCATCACTCGGAGCCAGGTGATATTGTTATCTCCATTTTACAGGTGAAGAAACTGAGCCGCTAAGTGACTTGCTGAAGTTCACAAAGCAAAAAGGAGCAGGGCCAGGGCTGCAATTCAGCCAGTCTGGCTTCAACTCCCGTATTCTCCGGGAAGATCTGAGGTGAGGAGGGCATGTCAGGCAGAGGCAACGGGTGGGCACAGGCTCAGTGAGGTGAACCTAAGATGACAATGTGAAATCGCTCTGCACACTGCAAAGGGCTATCCATCTGCCTTTACTGAGTGGTCAAGGGCACGGATTTGGAGTCAGCTGGAACCCAGTTGCATCCCAGCCCAGCTCCAACAGGCCCCTTACCTCACTGTGCTTCAATATCCTCACCTGGGAAGCAGGGATAATAAGAGAACCTGCCTCATACTGTTGTGGGAGCTTCAAGATTATACAGTCAAAAGGCTTAGCGCACAGCAGATGTTCTGTAAATACACTGATACAGAGAGGCTGGTTTTACTACTGGCTTCCATTCCTAGAAGCTTTCCCTGATGGCTAAGCCCTCGAGGGCTCCATGTGGGTGTCCAGAACAAGGCTGGGCATGAGGAGGGTCTCAACAAAGCTTCTTCTGTTTGTCACCAGAGATGTCCACAAGGAGGGCATTGGTACCACCTTGCAGGATGGCATTAGAACTGCCTTGGGCAAGGAGTCCTGGCTCTTTTAATATCTAGGTCTCCAGGCCTCAGTCTGTTCATCTGAGAGATGGAGATAACAGCACAACATCCACCTCACATGGTTGTTGTGAGATAAATGTGTTAATCTGTGTAGAATGTTTATCACAGCTTGGGGTACACAGTAAGGGCTCAATAAATGCTATCTGTTATTATTCTCCTGAGGGTCAGGACAGCCCTTCTGCTGTCTGGCTGAAGTCTCTCCTGCTTTAGGCCTCGTTCTTCTGACGAGCACTGACATCAGGGTCTGGAAAGGAGGTCCAAGGTTCTGTCAGCACCCTCCACCTCAGGACACAAAGGCCCAAGGGGCTGAGGTTTGGGCATTAGGCCCTGAGCAAGCTTGGAATGGAGGGAGCTGCTGTCTGCTCACCCTGTGAGCTCCATTTCTTGGAGGGAACATGGCCCAGGACCAAGGAGTGGGACTGTGGGAAACGGTTTTGGGGTGGGCCCAGGGCAGCATGGAAGGGAACGGGGCAGCCTGCAGAGGACTCCTGCCCCTAGTCTTGGAGTTAGGCAAGGGAGGGGGGTGCCCAGGTCTTACCGGTGTCTCCTGGGCTGTGGATCCCTCGCATTCCAAGTCTTCCTTTCCTCAGCGCCAAGCTCCAGGCAGCTCTGAAGAACATCTAGGGTGTGCGTGGATGAGTCCTGCCCCCACAGTGCCCTCCGCCCCTACCCCTCAGGGCCCAGACAGCGAAACCCTTTTTCAGGTGTTGTGGAAAGGGGGCAGGATTTCAAGGTCACCCTCAGGCCCATGACCCTTCTAATTTTGCCTGATATCCCTATGGGGGTAGATGGGGGTCCGAGACATTTGGAGCCCTCTCCTGGGACCTCAATTACCATCTGAGAAGTGGGAGGAGGCCTGACTCTTAAGGCAGGATCTGAACAGTTTGGGGCTGGGGGCCTGGGTTCTGGTTCCAGCCCCAGCTCAGCCTGGCCAGGTTGGGAGACCTCCTTCAGTTGTTTGACCCCCAGAGGAAACTGGGTGGGAGTCCAGGTAGGGAGGGAGCAGGTCCTGGGGCTACCTCTCTTCCCTACAGGGCCATCTGCCAAGGTCTTGGGCAGATGGTCTGGCCCCCACCCCTTCCCCCCTAATTGGCTGCCTACGTGCACTGCACAGAGAGCCTGCTCAGCTAGATCTGGTGGGGGAGGGGGACAGGCAGAGCCCAACTCCCCTCTCCCCCCGGGGAAGTCTCAGGGTCTGGCATCCCATGGGGGTGGCTTTAGAAGAGGACAAGGACCAAACTGGGTCAGAAGGAGGAAGAGGAGCACACATCTGGGGACAGGAAAGGGGTATCCCACTCTGGAAAGAGAAAGCGCCCCTCACATCTGGGGAGAGAAAGGGGCACCCAATAAGTAGAGGGAGGGGGTATACCATATGTGGTAAGTGGGAGGGGGCCCCCACATCTGGGAAGGAAGGGCTCCCCATCAGTGATAAGTAGATGAGGGAGCGGCACACATGGGGAGAGGGAAGGGGTAATCTACATTTGGGGAAAGAGATGGTGCCCCATATACGGACAGAAGATAATTCCCTAGGAGTCCTCAACTCTGAGCTGCCAGAAGCCCCCCGACCCTCTTCGATGGGGCGACCACACGGGCCCTGACGGGGTGTTGAAAGCCGGAGACCAAGCCGCATCCCCACCCCCCAGCCGGGGCTCTCCCACCCACTCACTCACCTCGCAGCTCGTGGCAGCAGGAGCACGACCCGGGTCTGCCAAGCGAGTAACAGAGAATGAGCTGCTGCAGAGGGACCAGAGCGCTGGCGCCCGCCGGCCCGCCCCACAGCCTTTTCCAGGGCCGCCCCCTCGTGGGAACGTCCTGCCTCGACCGGGCGTGGGAGCGCCCAGCCAGCGTCCCTGGGGGCGCCCCAGCCCGCAGCCTGGGGAGAGGGACTGCAGAGTGACTCCCCGCCTCAATTTCCCCGCCCGCGGGGGTCCTGCCTCTGGAGAGCCCCAGCGGATGGCGCCCCTGGGACCCAACTGGCTGTGTGTCCCGGGCTGGCCCAGCCCTGAGCTGGGAGGTCCCAGGAGCTGGATCTTGCTGCCTCCACACCTTTGCTCATTGCTGTTCCTTCCACCTGGGATGCTCTTAGGGCCTTTGCAGACCCAAGTCTTGTGAGCTTTCCAGCCCAGACCCCAATGCCTCTTGCTCCAGGAAGCCTACAACCATCTAGAATCTAGCAGCTGGCCTGTGGTCTACCACCTCACTCCCACACCCCCATAGTCAATGAGAGGTGAGAAGAGCCTCCCTCTAGGGTTCAAATCTTAGCTGAGTTCCTGGGCTTTTTCTATAAAAGGGAGCTAATGATAGTTCCTACCTTATGTGGCTGTGGTAAAGATTAAATACGTCAATAGAAAAGCATCAGGCACATTTATTCAAGAATTATTTATTAAGACCTATTACAGGTGGCATTTATTGAGTGTCTATTGTTTACCAGGTTAAATGCTTGGGGATATAGAGCCAAACAAAACCAAACACAATCCCCACCCTTATAGGGCTTACAATCCAGTTCCAAACAGAAAGAAAGGCCTGTGCAAAGGCCCAGAGGCAGAAACACACAGGTGTGTTCCAAGAACAGAGAGAAGCCATCTTGGCCAGAGTGTAATGGGCAAAAGGGAGAGTTGGAGAGAGCCGGCCCCGCGGCTTAGCGGTTAAGTGCGCTCGCTCTGCTGCTGGTGGCCCGGGTTCGGATCCCGGGCGCGCACCGAGGCACCGCTTCTCTGGCCATGCTGAGGCCATGTCCCACATACAGCAATTAGAAGGATGTGCAACTATGACATAACAACTGTCTACTGGGGCTTTGGGGGAAAAATAAATAAATAAATAAATAAATAAATAAGGGAGAGTTGGAGAGGGGCTGGACCACCAGCAAGGCCTCATAGGCCATGGTGTGGATCTTGGATTTTATTTTAAATTTGCAGGCCGGCCCCGTGGCTTAGCAGTTAGGTGCGCATGCTCTGCTGCTGGCAGCCCGGGTTCGGATCCCGGGCTCGGATCCCGGGCTCGGATCCCGGGCTCGCACCGACGCACCGCTTCTCCGGCCATGCTGAGGCCGCATCCCACATACAGCAACTAGAAGGATGTGCAGCAGTGACATACAACTATCTACTGGGGCTCTGGGGGGAAAAAAATAAATTAAAAAAAAATTGTTTTAAATTTGGGAGGCCACCAAAGATAGTGGTAATGATGTGGTTAAATGGAGCAGAGCATGACTTCAGTAAATGTGGCCTGGAATTGTTGGGAATACTGATGGTGGACTGATGGGTGAAGGCTGTGGGTCCCTTCTGTGGCCTGGAACCAGAGCTTTCTAGCTCTCCTGGCTCTGGATTCATGAGGTGTGCCCAGTGCCCACCCATCCATCAGGGTTCTTGTAGCTCAGTGAGGCCATAGGGACCCACTCCAGCCAGTGTCTGGAGGATCTTAGTCCCTGGGGGGCAGATGAGCCTAGAAGGGCAAGGACTCAGGGGAAGGTGCTAGAGAGACCCTGGAGTGGGCAGGATACACATCACCTCAATTCTGGACTTTAGCGGCCACAGACATAAAGCCATGAGAAGGCAGTGTGGGAGGCTCTCCAAGAGACCCCCAGCTCCTAGGACTAGCCACGGTTATTCTTTTTTTGTGTGTGTGAGGAAGATCAGCCCTGAGCTAACATCCATGCTAATCCTCCTCTTT